ATGGCTGGTGTATGTGTGTTTTAGGAGTGGACCCCACCCACCCCCGCCCCGCTCATGGCTGATTAGCTGGCCTGACACCACCTGTCCTTCCTGACTGACCTCTTTAGAATAGGAATCTTCTTGTAAAGCTCTGCTCTTGTGTTTTGCTTTCTTTTCCATTTCTTTTTTATTTCTCTCTCATTTTTTCTCTTTCTCATTCTATTTCTTTTTTTTCTCTTTTAATTTTCCTCTTTCTCATTCTTTTGTTCTCTTTCTCTCTCATTCTTTTATTCTGCTTCTCTTTTATTCTCTTTTCTCTCTGTCTCTCTTTTATTCTTTTTTCTCTCGTCCTCTTTCTTTTTCTCCCTTCCTCTCTTTCTTTCTCTCTCTTCCTCTTTTTCTTTTTCTTTTTTATTTCTCTGTTTTGCTTTCACTCTCTTTTCTTTTTTCTTTATTTCTCTTTCTTTTGTTCTCTCTCTCTCTTTCTCTCTCTAGAGGGCATGTGCACTCAGCATAGACAGACAAAAAGGGAGGAAACACCCCTGTTGGGTATGGTCGCACCGTAACCCCTTCTCCATTTCTCCATCCTCTCAGGGTTGGGGCCCATGTACCTGCCTACTGGACGGGATTCCTACCACAGTCAGCTGTGTGTGAACTGGCTCTTTTAACCACTAGGCCACATGGCTTAGCCTTGTGCTTTCCTCTTCTCCTTTCCTCTTCTCCCTCCCTCGCTCCTTCCTTCCCTCTCTCCTTGTCTCTTTCTCTCTTTCTTTTTCTCTGTCTCATGGAGTTTCTTTGTGAATCACATGAAGAAGCTTCTGTCAAAATTCCTCAAACACACACACATGCAAAATGCCTAAGTCTAGCTTTGTTCTTATCACCGGGTTAAAGTGCATAAATGTATGTTTATACACAATATTAACAGCAACCTCTTATTTCAAATTGAAAAATAAAATCTAAAAATACTGAAGGGAAGTAATGTACTTCTTAGCAGCCTGTGGCATTGAAATACGGGACGTTAGGCCATGATAGCACAGCGGTTGGGCACCTCTGCAGGATGCTGGAGCCACATGGAGGCCCAGGTTTGGTCCTCAGACTGACCCAAACATGCCAGACATAGCAGCAAACTTGTGATCCTGCCTAGGAGGCTGGGCAGAGGGATTACCTATCTCTCTGTCTCTGTCTTTCTCATTAAAATAATAAATAAATAAACTTTAGAAAGAAAAGAAATATAGTAGGGCCCATCTTATAAAATCTTTAAGAAAAAGAAAACTCATTCTATCTATATCTATCTACCTACCTACCTATTTATTTATTGAAAGATTTTTGCTATAGGATGTGTTTGCTCTCCAAAGAGTCAGAGAGAAAGAGACAGAAAGCAAGAAATCAGCATCACCACCCCCCAGGGGGGATGGCCACACTACAGGCCCTTTTCCTCTATTCTCCTGGGGTTTGGGGCACATGCACATATGCCCAGTGTGAGTTTTAAGCTGCTAGGTCTAAGACTCGAACCACGGTCAACTGTGTGGGAGTCCAGGGCCTTAACCACTACATCACCTGCTGGCCCCTGGATGTGATCTTTTAAAATTATTTTCTAATACAAGAGCCCTCTGCCCTGGCAGCAATGACTTAAATTCATACAGAGTTTCTTTAAAGAGATTATATTCCATGTATTTACTGATCAGAATTGTACCCCAATGAAAAAAATGCTTGAGGAAGTTAATTATTCAAAGTTACAAAGATGGGGAATTTGGAGTTTCCCCTAGAATGACCTTTGTAGGCCAGTTTTTTTATTAATTTTTTTTTTTTTCATTTCTTTCCAAATGTGGATGAGGGCCTGGCTAACCCTCGGTTTCAGCTGTGTAAACACTGAACGTTCAAACAGCTGGGCAAGAGAATAAGAGTAAAACTTCTAGCAGCCAATGTAAAGCCTGAATAATACAATTAAATTATTAATTATTTCCCCTAAGAAATAATCTGTGATCTTCCTTCCAAAGAAAAGACATAACAAAGATGCTATTTCTTAGTTTCTATGATGTAGGTGTAAGAAGCATTTTAGAAATCAGAAGGATTGACCATTGTTTCAGTCCATTCTGTGTTGCTTAATAACTAAATATCTGAAACTGTGATGATTTATAAAAGTTCATAAAACCGTGGGTGATTTATAAAGAACAGAGGTTTATTTAGCTCACAGCTTTGGAAGTCCAAGGTCATGGGACACATCTGGAGAAGGTCTTGTTGGTGAGGACACTCGGCAGAGTCCCAAGGTGGTACAGGACTTGAATGACAAGACGGAGTGAGAGTGAACGTGTGTCCACATCCACGTATCTCATTCTCTGTCTTCGTACACCCACCAGGATTCAGTATGGGAGCCCCACCCTGAAGACCTTAGTCCGAATCAGTTCCCAATGGCTCCACTTCTTAATCCATAGTTCAATTAAGTTTTCACCCTCTTAATCCTATGATAACCAAATGTTATCATGTGAATTTTGGGGGGAATGGAATTTCCAAACAACGTAGCTTCTTATATCAAGTGTGTGTGTGTGTGTGTGTGTGTGTGTGTGTGTGTGTTTAATTTTTGGCCCAAAAGCACCTGGTTTCTGATTACCCTTAAACATAGCACCATCTTTGCTGCAGCCCTCCTACATAGCAGAACCCATTTTGTAATAGACACCATGACAGACTTCCAACTTCGTACATGAGGAAAAAATTATTGTCCTCTTTTAGGCAAGCTATACATTAAACCAGATTTGCAAAACCGTGTTTCTTTCTTGGTTTATATTTCTAACTGCATTCACTAATAACTCCATTTTTAGGCTAGCCAAATGAAAGAATGCCCAGAATTGTTAATAGTACTAGGCTGGAGATTTATCCCAGTGTTGAGGGGAGAGTTTATAAAATTTTCTATAGGGCTTATGATTGATTTAATAATAAAGTATGTACCCGTAGTTCTCCCAAGTAATTCCAGGTCTCAGAGCTTCAAGCCTCTCCTGACAAACATCCCTTCTGATAGAGCAGGCAAAGCAGATTTCTGTCCTATGTACATTTGAAGCAAACTAGACCAGATGAGGGAGGTGGCAGATTTTATCCAATATCACACACAAGGAAATGATTTCAAACCGCTCCACAAACTGCTGCATAGAAATCAGCATTTTGGTTTTTTCCTGGACACTTGTTCTCGGTTTGAATTTGTCATCAGCTATTACCACTAACTTGAAATCTGTCAAAGACAAAATAATCTGAGAATTGGCCAGAATCGAGACTATAAGGGACCTTTTATGTTCTCATTGATACTCTGTTTTATGAGAATGTACAAGAGATCTTTAAGAAATTAATGGAAAATGAGTATCATGTGGAAAAATGAAAGAATTTCACTATATTTTATACAAAAAGTGTACTTTAATTCCATTTTTCCAAAGACTTTTTGAAGTTGTTTCATATACTTCAAAGAGTTGTTTGCTGCTTGGCTTGTTTTTAATACTGTAAGAGGAAAGAAAGGGCAGTAGCTTTTCTGATAGAATTTTATGCGCTCATATTTTTAAAATGCTTTTACTATTTAGTATAGTAATCAGGTTTCCACAGTCAACTAGTCCCTGCCAAAAGAAATATATATATGAAGCATTGTAAAAAATAACTCATTAAATTTTCCAAATAGAAGTTATCTCCTAACTTCAAAAGAAGGTAAGTAGGTGTTGACATTAAAGTCTTACTGTCACTGTTTTCTCTATATCCATGTAGTTTTTCGGGGGTCTAGGAATCTGAAAACAGAATTCTAATGAAAATATTTTATTAGGATTAAATTAGGTGATTATGATGCTGTGTCAGCTTCTTAACATAGCACAGAATAAAAACTGTAAGTACATTCTAACTGGAACAAGAAGTATTGTCATGGTTTTCCAAGTATAATCACAGAATATTGATCTTTTTTTTAAAAAAAAAATACACACTATTGGGACCAGCAGTTAGTGTAATGGCTATGTCGTGGACTCCTGTGTAGTCAACTGCAGTTCGAGTCCCGGACCTAGTGGCTTAAACTCACGCCAGGCATGTGTGCATGTGTGCCCAAGATCCCAAGAGGAGAATGGAGGAGAAGGGATTGTAGTGTGGCCATCCCCTCTGGGGGGTGATTTCTCACTTTCTGTCTCTCTGTCTCTCTCTCTTTCTGATGAACACACATGCCCTATAGCAAAAACCTCTCTAAAAATATACACATTATTCTCTAAGACTTAAAATTGGATACCATTCAATCTTAATTGTCAGAAACGGAATGGATTTTATTCCGTTTGTATTCTTTCCTTATCACCTTGTTTGTGTTTTATCACAGAGGATTAAATTGGGTCTTCTGAAATATATTTTCCTCCAGGACACCCTGTAGCTAGCCGGGACTAGAACCAGACTTGTAATTCCACCCTAAGACTTAACTGGCACTTACTATTTTATTCAAAATCATATATTTGCAAGCACTTTAACTAGTTAGACTTTAAGTGACTGAAAGGTTATTTTACAGGCTTCAGGTCACTGCACCCTAGTTATCTTTTTCTGCTGTGTACTTTTTCTTTTTCTACTTTGGAGCATGGTTGATTCAAATAGCCACCTAGGGGTTAAATATTATGTGTGGCCCTAGATCTCTGGTCAAGTGTTGGGGAAAATTTTCATTGATTTAAGTAGGTGTTATAGCTCAGTAAAGAATGGCCCTATGTTTGGCAAGAAAGCAGATATGGAAATTCTACTCACAGCCAAATTTACAAGAATAAGGTAATTGGTTAACGTAAAAGGAAATGGCTTTGACAGATTTACACTCTTGGGATATATTAGAAATCCACCCAAACGGAGCATTCAAGTGTGTTCATTTTTGTCTTGAGGTGAAAGAATCCAATACCCCAAGTGGAAAACAGTTTTGTGTAAAGGAAATGCTATAGACATCCCCAGTCTCTTTTTTTTTCTGTGCTGTGGTGTTAGAGGTAGACCTCATATGTCCTATCAACACTCTTTTTACCTTCTCACTTCTCCGCTCTGTTTAGAGTTAGAAGTAGATGAACCCAAAGAAGAAAAGAAAGAATGCTATTATAACCTCAACGATGCCAGCCTGTGTGACAACGTGCTGGCCCCCAACGTCACCAAACAGGAATGCTGCTGCACGTCGGGCGCCGGGTGGGGAGACAACTGTGAGATCTTCCCCTGCCCAGTCTTGGGGACTGGTAAGAATCAGCCTATTGGGGTATTTACACTTACATTTAGCTATGGGGTGTCCCCAGGCCTTAGAATGTTCTCATTTTGCTTATTACACTGAAGCCTTGAAATAATGTCGTTTGTTGCTTGAGTTGACTTGAGGTGAGATGACCTTGCTTTGTAAGTGAGTTTTCTTCGGGGCTGGAAGAAAACTCATCCCCTCCTCCCACCTCAGAACAAATTTTTAAACTTCTCTTCATCACAAACAGTGCTGTTATGGTCAAGTTCTATATGATGTTTTGAGAGAAAGATTATTCCCTTTTGCTTTTTATTTTATTTTATTTTATTTTATTTTTTGGAGAGATTTTTGCTGTAGGGTGTGTGTGTGCTCACCAGAAAGAGACAAAAAGCAAGAAAGTCACTTCTGCATCCCCCAGGGGTGATGGCCTTGCCACAATCCCTTCTCCATTCTCCTCTGGGGATCCTAGGCACACACATACACACACCAGGTGTGAGTTGTAAGCTTCCAGGTCTGGGACTTGAACCATGGTCAACTATGTGGGATTCTAGCAACATAACCATTACACCATCTGCTGGTCCCAAGATGATTCCATTTTTTAAAATTAAATTTTAATTTACTTTAATCTTTAATCTTTTATGCTAACCATGACACAGCATTATCTATTATACAATGAGAGTTTTATACAAGAGGACTTTAAAAAGCTCATGAAAAAATGAATTTAAAGTACAAGTTTATTGTGGTACGAAAGATTTTTGAACTTCCTGCATAGTTTCTTCACACTACGCATTTTTCATGAAATTTTTGAAGACCCCCTTATATTTAAGCTATGATTTCTCTTGATGGGTTCTTTCTAAGCTTAAAATAGTAGACACCACAGTGATGGAGAAATAATGGGCATAGTATCAAGGAAAACATAAGTAAGTAAGATATGAATAAATTGGAAGATTTTTCTTTTTCAGGTGTAAACTTAAAAGTGATTAAACTTATTTGCACCTAATTCATAATTTTTTGAGATTGTACTCAACTTATTTCCCTGAATTTCATTAAAGTTGTTGGAGAAAGGAAAACTGAATTTAAAACATGCATTTATAAAGATGTTGATTCTTTTTTTTTTTATTATTTCTTTGTCTTTCCTAAAATCAGCTGAGTTCACGGAAATGTGTCCTAGAGGGAAAGGTTTTGTTCCCACTGGAGAATCCTCTTACGACAATGGTGGCGAGAACTATAAAGGTCAGAGCCAAGCAGAAACAAACTTGCAACCGGTGTATGCATCAGACATTTAACTAAATGCACGACTTGGGGTACATAGAATTAGAGTTCTTTTGAGCCATAGAAACTAAATTCAGAATCCTTAATTCTTCCATTGGAAGAAGGTCTTTGTGGAGCTGGGCAGGGCCGTCACTAGACAGGGAGTCAGACACACAGGCTATGTGATATGGGGCAGTGGCTTAACCTGAGTGTCTGATTTGTCTCTGAGATAGAAATAATGTTGCAAAGGTTATAATGAGGATTAAAGGAGATGATTTGTGTAAAAATACTTAAAATTCTGTCTTTAGTTGGTACTTAATAAATGTATCCTTCTATTGTAGAGATATACTAGAAATCACTTAAATTATGGCCATATAAATTAGAACATCATCATGTGTGTCTTTAGGGTAAAACACAAAGTTTTTTGGGGGGAAACTTGTGCTATTGCTATGACCTTTTGCTAATGGCTACAGATTCATAATGAGAAATGGAAAAAAAGAAAAATATATATAAAACAAAATAGATATGGTTATTTACTTAATGCTGCTATTGTATAATTCTAAATTTTAATGTCCAGCCTCTTAATTTTGACGCATATTCACACTTGTGAATATTTTATCATTAACCACCTACTTTTGTCCTTTCTGTGACAGAGATATTGTGGCCTTTTTATATACAAAGTGAGGTTTTTCCCTTAGGAGTTTAATATTGAAAACTTCAGAGAGATTGGAAAATAGACTATAAACTTATTTTTATTGTCCATTGGTTTTTGGAAAACTAGTCTTTGAATAATATAATATAATATAATATAATGTAATATAGTAGCTAGATGAGAAATTCCAGTTGTGTTTTTTAAATATACCTATGATTTAGTTTAGTTGAATGACAGACTTAGTTTATTATATTTGCTGAATGGTTTCTATGTTCACAAATCTCACATATTTTTACAGATAAATAGTTAAGCAGAGCCTTGATTTTGTCATTAGTTCATCTGCTTTTTAAAATAGAAACAAATTCCACCTTTCCCTGTCTTAGCCATGCTGTAAATGGTTGGAAGAACATTGGATTAAGTTCCAAACATATCTTTTAGGCTTGGCATTTTTATTTTTCACCTGTGTAACTTGGACAAGTCATCTGTGTAGTCCCCAGTTTTAAAAATAAAGATTAGATGACATTAGCTCTAAAATGCTGGAATTGGTGCTAAACATTAACACTAAAACCAATAAGTAACACTTTCGAGCATGTATTTGTGCCAGAGTGTTACTATGGGATCTCTCATTCAGTTCCTTTCACTCTTCTTAGGCTGATGTTCTTAATAGCCTCGGTTTATCATTCATTGAGATGACAAGGGCTCATAATTCTGTGGGGAGTGGGCCTGCTGACCCCTGAGCTACTTGAGCTGTCGTTAGCTGATCTTCATCACTAAGACAGAAAATGTTTGTCAAGGTCCACCACACTCCTCTCAGGAGCTTTCTGCATCTCAGCTCGTGAATGGGTCAGAATATACATTGCAGATGGCACATTTCTTAAGTGACATGTTATTTAGAGAATATTGTTGGCACCACTATGGAATCGATAGGCTATTTCATCAAATATGTTACAACATCTTAAAGACCAAATATACAAATGTACCTTCCCTAGAACGATTTTTAACCTTGGCTGTTGCTCCTTTGTATCAAAGACAAACCATATCTGCTTATATTTCTACACCTGCCAATTAAGCCCAACTTTAAAAATGTTATATTGCTATGTCCATGACAGTCTTTGGAATATAAATAATATTATAGTGTCTCACTTCAAGCCCAATATTGGCTAGACTGTTCCTTTTAACTGAAAGATCAAAGCTGGCTCCTTTTTATATTTCTCAAATTTTTTTCCCCTCTAGATGCAGACGAATGCCTCCTTTTTGGACAAGAAATCTGCAAAAATGGTTTCTGTTTGAACACTCAGCCTGGTTATGAGTGCTACTGTAAGCAAGGGACATACTACGACCCTGTCAAATTGCAGTGCTTTGGTAAGCTTTAAGAGGATATAGTACAGTGTGCTGTGAAAATATACAGATGGAAAAACACCAGTAATGCCATGTAGTAAAAGCAATGTCTTGTGGATCTAAATCATGTGTTGAAAAGATGTGTAAAAATTTTTATGAATCTTTTCCTTGAGCAAGATTTAAGAAAATAAAAAGCCTCCGTGCAGCTATTTAAGTGGATTTCAAACAAAGAGTTAATATTCAATGTGGAATTATAATTCAGGTCACTGGTATAAGCAAAGTATTCTTTCGGTCTGTGGAACCGCCTGTTTCATCACTCATACCATGCAGTGCTGACCCAGACTTCAGTGCTTAAGCAGAAAACCATATACACTGGGCAGAAAAACATAAGAGGCATTTTTATCTTAAATTTCTAAGCATATCCTGTTTGTAGACGTTTGCTTTCTATATTTAACGTCAGCAGCAGCAACATTGTTTTTCCAATCATTCCAATTTATATTTTTAAACTACTCTCTTTTGGAAGATAACATGTAGTTAATTAAAAGGTGGCAGCCCTTGGAATCTGGAGTAAACGTAGTAATGGGTCAGGTTTGGTAAGTGTGTGAGGTTCGACTCATTGCTGATTTTCTTCAGTAATGTTTTCTCCTCTTAAGATATGGATGAATGTCAGGATCCCAACAGTTGTATTGATGGCCAGTGTGTTAATACAGAAGGTTCTTACAACTGCTTCTGTACCCACCCAATGGTCCTTGATGCTTCGGAGAAGAGATGCATACGACCAACTGAATCAAATGGTATGTTTCGATGCAAGGTGCTAACGTGTGTCCACATATCACGAGCTTGCTTTTTGACCAAACTGTGAGCTACTGGAAAATATTAGAGATGATGCCTGGGAAGAGGCGGGGGGGGAGGGGGAGGAACAAGTGGTATGGTGGTTAAAGTGTTGGACTCCCACATGGCCCATGGACCACTGTGGTTAGAGTCCTGGACCTGGAGGCTTGAAAAAATCACTCCAGGTGAGTGTGCATACATGCCTAAATCCCAGGAGGAGAATGTAGAAGAGAAGGGATTGCGGTCTAGTCATCCTCTCTGAGGGATAATTCCTTACTTTCCCTCTTATTCTCTTTCTCACGGTGGTGAATGCACATGCCCTATGCCAAAAACCTTAAAAAAAAAAAATTCCTTGAGTATTTTGAAATAATTAAACTGAGATATTAAGAGAAGTAGTAAGGTGTCATCAGTATTTAGGAGATTTAATATTGTAAACATAACCATTGAATGGACATGGGCCAGCTTATAACCTGGTGGTTAAGGTGGCTAGATCTTACATGGCTGGCCGTGTGTGGCATCTAGAAAAACATTCCCAGCACGCGTTTGTGCCTAAAATCCCGAAAGAGGGAGAAATAGAGGAAAAGGGATTGTAGTATGACCATACCTCCTGGTCGATGATTTCTTATTTTTCCTTCTCTCTGTTTCTTTCCTATGAGCACACATACCCTCTGGCGTATTTAAATAAATTGTAAAAATGTGAGGTGGCCAAACAGATGACATAGTTGTTTCATGCCTGAGGCGTCATTGTACTTCACCTTCAGAGGCAGTGAAGGAAGGTGTAAGTTCAGAGGAAGATGATTGGATGTGCTAACTGGAGTGGAGGACATGGATAAGGCTGGCAGAGGAGAGAATGGAATTCAATAAGATGGTGGAAAGCCCTGGACTCCCCTTATAGGAAATCCTGTTCCTCTCTAATGAGGCAACACGCCACTAATAATTGGCATAATTGGTCATCACATTCACAAGACTGCTTTGGATGATGTCAACTGAAAGGCAGGAAGGTTAGAATTGAGGACTCAAAGATTTTTCCTTCTCTCTGTTTCTTTCCTATGAGCACACATACCCTCTGGCGTATTTAAATAAATTGTAAAAATGTGAGGTGGCCAAACAGATGACATAGTTGTTTCATGCCTGAGGCGTCATTGTACTTCACCTTCAGAGGCAGTGAAGGAAGGTGTAAGTTCAGAGGAAGATGATTGGATGTGCTAACTGGAGTGGAGGACATGGATAAGGCTGGCAGAGGAGAGAATGGAATTCAATAAGATGGTGGAAAGCCCTGGACTCCCCTTATAGGAAATCCTGTTCCTCTCTAATGAGGCAACACGCCACTAATAATTGGCATAATTGGTCATCACATTCACAAGACTGCTTTGGATGATGTCAACTGAAAGGCAGGAAGGTTAGAATTGAGGACTCAAAGAAAAAAAAAAAGACTGTCACTGGTCCAGGGCTTCAGCAGGTAAAGCATCAATCGAAAACCTATCTTATAGAAAAGAATGGTAGGAGCTGACAGAGGAGTAAAGGTGGAAAAGCAAAGTGGAAAGAACAAGAAGTCCATCAGGCTTCTGAAAAACAGGCAAGATAGTGAGGTATATTTTATAATGAAAGGAAGTTATGGGGAGAGATTTCGTTGGAACGTGACAGGCAGAGTGAAGTTTCGCCAATGGAATGACACCCAGTTGGAGATGACAGAGATTTAATCCATGGAAAGACCAGGCTGGGTTCAGACTTTTACTTGGAAGTCAGTCTTAGAAATAGGGATGGAAACTTTGAGCCTCGCTGGCTTCCACTGCAGTGCTGATGAAATGAGAACAGCAGTGCAATTGTCATGGAACCATGTCTTCCCTTTCAGAGCAAATCGAAGAAACCGATGTCTACCAGGATCTGTGCTGGGAACATCTGAGTGACGAGTATGTGTGCAGCCGGCCTCTTGTGGGCAAGCAGACGACGTACACTGAGTGCTGCTGTTTGTACGGAGAGGCCTGGGGCATGCAGTGTGCTCTCTGCCCCATGAAAGACTCGGGTAAGCTGTGTCCCGTTCCTTCTGCAGGAGGCACTGGGAGCCTGTCGTTTCTCTGCAGTGTATTCACTCGTTTATCTCACTTTCAGCCTGGGTGTGTGTGCATATGTGTAAGAGATGAGCAAGATTGTGTAAACATCTGCCTCCTGACTAACTCTGATCCAGACCCTGTCATTATTATTATTATTATCCTTAAGGGAGAAAGAGAGAGAAGAGGTATTTTTGACAGGGTGTTCCCATTGCATTCATCTGCCCCAGGCTCCCAGTTAACCAAGACTAAAGGTGCATGCCACCACACGCAGCTTGTTCAGACTGGTTTGCGGTCCAGCTCGGGCCTCCCACATGGGCCGAGCCTCCTGCAGCAGCAGCCTCTCACTTGCACCAACATAACCGGACTCTTGTCAGTGATTCCTGAAACCCTCAATTCAATTTCTCCAGAGAATAATAAATGACCCTAAGAAACATCATACCACTTAGCAATTGGTGGCATACATCTTTAGGATTTATTTTTTTCTGATATTTTTTTTTTCTCCTTGTAGTCCTTCTCATTTCTAACAGTTTTGACTTAGGGTCAAAAGTATTAGAAGCCATAGAACATTTTGACAGGTCAAAGTTCAGGTTTTTATGTCAACTACCATGTGAGAGAGAAAAAGGAGTTGGAACAAAAATTAACTGAAAAACTATTTGAACAAATCTCCTTTCAAGTTTGAGATCTGTGGTTGAAACTTTGTTTAAATGGAAAAAATGAGACAGGTTAGTATCCCAGTTTTGTCCCTTCCCCTGGTGTTGGAGGAAGACAGGAAGGTATTGACTCCACGCCTCCTGGCCCGGGTGCTTGGTGACTGTATGTACAGATTATTTCCCTAATCACCGCTGTAGCTACTTGTCACTAAAAGAAGGAAGGTGCTCGAAAGTGTCTGCTGTATCACTTTGTAAAATTGCCTTGTTAAAGCTACAAAAAGAGTGTGCAAGTATGAAGTGAAGGAGATGATGACGAATACATTCTCGGGACAGTTCAAAGGGAAGAATTGCTTGAAAGAGAAGTGCGTCCATTTTTAATTCATTCCATGAGACTATTTTACTAAGGTTATTTAATAAAGTAGCTTTTTGCCTTAGCAATAACTTAAAACCAATGTAGTGTGGGGGGGGCGGGGCAGCTGGTGGCGCAGCAGCAACATGTGACCCTGGACCCACATGGGAGGGTCTTGGGTTTGCATCTCAAGGTCATCCTGTGTATACCAGGCCCACACACAATTGCATGTGGTCTGGACTGGTTGAGGGTGAATTGTGGTGGGAGATCCTGTTGAGTCTTTCTCTGTCTTTCATAAAAGAAATCAATTAATAAACTTTAAAAAAATAGCATGACAAAAAATAAAATTTGAAATGTCATAAAAAGGAAATGCATAGCAAAAGATAAAGAGCAAATCCAGGGCCAGGCAATGGTCAATAATTGCTCTCAATATAGAAATTTCTGCTCTAGATCACTGCTTCATAAATACTAATGCACATATCCATTACCTAGGGATCTTTTTTTAAAAAAATGAATAATTAGTTAATTAATTAATTTTAATTTGACCAGAGAGGGACAGAGAGAAAGAGAGAGAGAGGGAGAGAGAAAGAGAGAGAGAGACGGAAAGTGAGAAAGCAAGCTGTCAGATCCAGGACTCGAACCGTGGTTGGCCGTACGGGAGTCCAGCACTCTTAACCACCACACTACCTGCCGGCCCCTTCCTGGAGATCTCATCAAAAACAGACAAGGATTCTATATTTCTAATAAGGCTGGTGGTAACCCTCTGCAGCTGGTCGTCACAGTGCACTCATGAGGCTCTAGAATCATCTATCAGCATCTGACTTTCTTTGTTAATCCAAGTTTTAATACGGGCAGTTATTAATTTTTCCAAGAGGAAACAAAGAATGTGTGATTTTTAAAACTGTTTTGCTCATAATTTCTGCCACCGAATCTTTAAAATATGCTGGTCCTGGGTATCCTGATGGTTGAAAAGGACCCCATTGTCTGTGTTTTCATCTGAGCACTGGACTGATCCCAGCCCGTCCAACACCGAGCCTCCCATTTGTCTAGGAGTACAGCACTGCTTTGGAGAACAATTAGTGATGGAAACGGTGCTGGAGGAATCTGAGGAATAAATCGCACCACTTGTCATCAGCTTTGAGCATTAAAGCACAGTGTAAAGTAAAGCTTTGGCTCTGGAGCAAGCTTTCACACTTCTGGTCCAATAGGTCATGGGCACTAATTCTTGTTAAAGCAGCAGCTCCATCTGAGAATCCTGGTAGGCGGAAGAGGTGGGAGTGGCTCTTTGAAGAGTGCTGTCTGAAGTCAGGTGGCATCTTACAGATTGGTACCACATGCAGGGCAAATGAGTGGAGGGCGACGGATAGTGTCAGAGTTCCTTTCTGTGAGAAGAATTGCCTAATTGTGTAATTCAGGATATTTCTGGGGTTACTTATGATGCCATTTCATTCCTCAGCTAAAAATCTCAGAGGCTGAACCATAAGCTAAATTAGAAAGTTCCAGATGATTGGCAGCAACACTGCAGGTGTGACAGTGGGCAGTTTGTTGAAATAGTGGAGGACAGACAGCTGCCTCCTGATAGACTCTGTGGCCTCCCTTGCCCTGCTCCAGCTCTGCCTCCTCTGCCTTTCCTTCCCTCTCACAATCTCTCTGATACTGCCTCTCTGCAACAAGTTTTCATGGACAGCAGGTGGCGTGACGTAAGGTGCTAGACTCCCACATGGCCAATTGTAGTTCGAATCCCAGACTGGCAGCTTACTTTCTCACTTTTCCTTTCTCTCTCTGGTCAAATTTTTAGAAATTTAAAAATTTAAAAATTAATAATAAATAAAATTAAATAACCAATTCTCTCTCTCTCTCTCTCTCTCTCTCTCTCTCTTTTTTTTTTTTTTTTTAGAGTTTTTTGTTATAGGGTGCATGCGCTCACTGGAAAGACAGAGAGAGATGGAGAGACAGAAAGTGAGAAATCACTCCCCCAGGGGGGATGGCCATACCACAATCCCTTCTCCATTCTCCTCTTGGGATCTTGGGCATGCAAGCACACGTGCCCGGCGTGAGTTTAAGCCATCAAGTCCAGGACTTGAACCGCGATCGACTACATGGGAGTTCAGCGACATAGCCATTATGCTAACTGCTGGTCCCAATACAAATTCTTTTAAAAAAAAGTTTGCAGTGGCTGGGCCCTCAACTTTGAGCTCCTTATGACATTGTGCTGGCCTCTAAGAGAAAGCAAGTCAAGAAAACCAAACCACTGTATTTATATCATAAATGACAGAGTGATCATTGTTGGATTTAGTGCCATAGGAGAAGAAACCCACAGAGTTACCAGAACTTTGAGATCTTCAGTGGATATGGAGTTTATTCAGATATGAATTTTCTGCTGCTTGGTTTTCCTGAGCCTCAGCTATAGCAAAAAAATGATGATAGTTAATCCACATATCCTGAAGGGACTTCAAAAAGTTCATGGGAAATGGAATTATATACGAATCTATTTCAGTGCAAAAAAAAGAAAAAATTGCAAACTCATTTTTCATGAACTTTTTGAAGATGTCTCACCAGGCACTGTTGAAAATGCTACTTATTTATTAAGATAATTCATTCTGCTAGCCACCTGTTTAATTCTGCTAGACACCTTTTTTCTGGAATAGGATCTGAAGCACAGGAAGGTTATGTTACCTGTTGCAGTTATATACTGGTAAGTGGCAGATTCAAACTCGGACATCCTGGCTCCAGAATCCACTTTCTGACTGCTTCAGTGTGAGCTGAGTCCTTGTCTCCCCTGAGATCTCAAAGCACATCTTAAATGAAGAGTATTCTTCAGAATATAAAAGTAACAAAGTGAAAAATTAAGGGCTGAGATCAAAATTGAAGGTGGTGTGTCTTAGCTCTGTATCCCCAGACATGTTAGTGGACACAGTACATAACAATCTCTATGTATTCAATGAACGAATAATGAATGAGTACATGTCAGTAATTCTCAGTAAATAGAACTTGTTGATGCCTAGCCCTAAATGCGTAGCCTTTAATGTTTTTTTATTGCTACTCTTAAAAGTCTAAACTTAAGTTTTTTTGAAAATGTAACTATAATGACAAGATATATAAGGTGTCATTATTTCATGGAAATGAAAATGTAATCTGCAAATGAAAGAGCATTAGACATATTTGAACTTTGGAATCTAATGTACCCAGGGATCCCACTTCTGTGATGATATTGCTAAAATAATTAGACTTTTGCCAAGTAAATAATTTAGATAATTAAACTTATCGTAAGTAATTAAACATAAAGACTTGATAAAATCTTGATCTAAAACTTAGAAGTTCAGAGATTTTCTTGATATGATGGCTAGAGTGTTAAGAGAGAGTGCCATCTATTGGTGGTGTGATGTACTGCAACCCAGGTGTTTTAACCTTGGCCATAACTCCTGATCAAAAATTTCTGGCGTAGAGGTGAGAGTGCTTAAAAAAAAAAAAAAAACTCAAAGGAAACTGAAATGCCACAAAAGAAATTTAAAATGTTACTAGTTTAATAAAACAGTATTATTGATCCAAATGTAGAGAAGTGGATGCTTTCAGTGTTGCTAGGAGAGGAGTTTGAAACTATACATGAATACATCTGATTCCAAAATTATAGCTCAGGAAATTTATCCTGTAGATATCTTTGTACTTAACTACCAGGAAGGAAAATATGATTATTACATAATGAAAATTTGTCATCAATTTGGTCAGTAGGAAATTGATAAATGATAGTGTATCTATGCAGTGGAAAATACTGTATTTTCAAAATGAAATATATCTAGAGATCATAATATAGAATGTTGTCTAATCCATATTTGTGTCTATATACATGTGCGTGGTGCACTTTTGTTTATTTTAAAAATGGTCTGTTTTGAGATCCTCCTGCCATGGTGTTTGCCACAATATCCAGGTTTTTAGGTTGGGCTGGGAATTGAACCTTGGCTTTCCAGGTGACCTC